GGGGGGGGTATGCACTGTCGGTTGCCTCCATACAGGGGGTTTTTGGTGCAAATTGCGTACGTTTCAGGCGGCTATCTAGAGACGACAGGGGGTCCTGGTAAGAGCTATCCCAGCCACAGTGGGAGAGGTAACCCGTGTGGATGATGAGTCGTACGAATCTTGGGCTGCGAAGGGATGCCATGACTCGGAAGCTTTCTGCTCGGATCGCACCGGGGTGCAGTACAGGCTAACCACCGTCCGCCTGTCTCCTCTCTTTCTGACTCCCTCCGCCCTACCCATCATTCCCGGCCAGGCGGCGGGAGAATAACCCACTTAGTTGAGCTGTAATGTCCGTCGAGACTGAAAACACCGGACCCCATTCCGAACTCCCAAGTTAAGAGGGCGGGTCCCCGGGTATAGGGCCGACTTTTTTATTTTATTTTTGCAAGGTTTTGCTAGTGGAGGTTTTGCTTTCTATGTTTTAGAGATATAAAAACTGCCAGGGGTAGATATAGCCTAGGCGTCCTGCACCCCCTATACCAAGAGGGTACAAATTTCCCAGGTGATTTGTACTTGGGTGTCGACAGAGGGGAACGAATGCCCCAGGCCCATCCCATCTCAGCTCCGAAGTTAAGCCCGCGGGGCCCTACTCGTGGGGTAGAAGCCTTTTTTTGTTTGTTTTATTTTTTATGTTTTACGAAAAGAAAGACAGCACATGTTTTACAAGTGGGCTGCTCAATACAGCCTACTAGCTTTATTAAAACCATCACCCGTTTAACAAATTCGCATTGATATAGACCAACAGTCACGTCACAAGCCCAGAAAAAAGGCTACTGTTACAACACAGAAGACTTGAAAACACCTTTTTGCGCATGAAAATAATAATTGTCATAGAACAATAAGTGGTTATACATAGTATCACCTCATCAATAAAACATTTAACATATACAAGAACAGCCTTTGCAATTTTGTGTCTTTTTTTTTTACATTCAATGGCTGGAACTAAAATACACATGAAATGAAACAAACGTGATGCTTGACAGCATAAATAATAATGTGTACATTAATAATCATTATTAATTGGTCCTAACGAAAAATGCTTAGCTCAGAACATTCAGGATCTGTTCGCGCACGAGAGAGGATGTAGTGAATTAGAACTTTCTGCTTTATTGAATACAACAGTAATCAAAGCCCAAGGTCACTCACAGCACACTGGATAACATGAATAATAAAAACTAAAAAGTAATAAAGCTAGCCAGATAACCTTATAAAAAAATAGCCGTAATTTCTTAGAAGAGCCCATTTTGACTATGACCAAGATGGTAAAGAGAACTTTGGTGGAGATAGCTTTGGTGGATATTGTCCATTTTGTCCTGACAAACATTCATTCGTGGTTTAGACCTTTTCTCGGATTTTTATTTCTTGACTTGTACATTTTTTAAATGGACCTAACCAACATGCGAATATGAACACATGAGTAAAGATAAATGAGTCAGTATGATACTGGCAGTATGTAGGGTCTGCCATTAAGAAGGGCGAAAAGAGCTCAAAGTTCTCTTTCCTGAACCTGAACACAAAGTGAAAGACTGGACAGTAGGTATGTCTAGATTAATTTGAATGCAATGATAGTGGCACATTTCACATACACTAAATTGTTACGTATTTTCGTGGCTCTGAATAAGATCATTTTGCAAGCATTTTAAGATCTTGAGAGTAAATGTGAGAAAGATTAGAGAAGAAATTGTTGAAAAACTCTTTGGCATTACGAATGAGCTATTTTTAAAACTTTAATGCTGTTAGAGTCAATTATTTTCCAACTACGTAAATAGTTTAAATTCTGCTACTACCATACTACTGAAAATCTTTGAGGCAAGAAGCCGATTTAAACTGATTGAAACAGATTTATGAAAGAATGAAGGCTTAGTCGGACACAGTACATTTAGAAACAGTCTGGACTTTCTATGGACAGCGAAACACATTTTTTTTTCTCGTAGGGGAAACGGTTTACACGAAATATTTGATACGTAATACAAATAAAATATATGACAGGCCAACCAAAAAAAAACCTAGACAAAGTGATTTATTCGGCCTTTATTATGCCAATGCAGTTCACGGTACTTTTGTTTTTGGAAGGCAAGGAATACTTTATGTAAACATTAGTGAAAACTACATGACCCGGCGACTGAATTTTCCACGCCTGGCTGCTAAAAGGAAAGCTTGATCTTATACATGCCGATGCATGTGCAGTTTTGGGGGCAATTTGAAGTTGTATTGAAGGAAATTATATACACTAATTTGTTCTAAATTTGACGAAAAGTGTCGTATAATACTGAAGTTTATCACGACATGAACAGCAACAAAACATGTGCCCAATGACCATACGATTTCGCTTTTTTAACGGACAAAGAAACAGTCATCCAAGGTCATCGATGAAGCAGCTTCAAAAATCGCCTTCTGAAAGACTCATTAGATTGGATTACGTATAAGCTCAAAGCTAGTCACAAATATGATATAGTTATCCAATCGAGTTCCCACCGTCAACATTTAACAAATGGCGGGACCCGCCCAGAAAAGCAACAAGCATAGTACACCCTCTTTAAAAAGAGAGAGAAAAGAAATCACACCCCATAGACTTTGTGCTCAGCACAGTACAGTCGGGTACAAGAGGTGCAGGTAACAGTGCAGGCCAGCATGGCAGCAACGTGATGCACAGCATTACGTACTAGGTTACGAACGGGCAGACAACAGCAACAAACTCTCAGTGGCGTACCTCGCTACCATCTCACCCCTGCCCTTGCGGGAGGAGCATCAAACCCAAGTTCAGTCGCGCATGATTCACTGATGATATAAGGTATGTACATGACTTAACTAACGAAGGAATCACGCTGGACTAGTTTTGATTGGTGCTTTTCAGTGATAAAAATTGTACTATGAATAAGATATGAAAGCGACCGCTTCTTTGCGGCCTCGTGGTAACACATACGCCAGCCACGCCACTGAGGGTCTGCGCGAACGTTCCCGGGGGAAAGATCGTTTCAACAAGGGGAAACATTTTATAACATTTTATATAGCTTAAAATGGCAACGATAATAAACACTCACTCAACACACTGTGCTCTCTCAACGAACACTAAATAATTTTAATGATACAGAATATGCTTTAAATGTAGTAGGCTTAATAGCTCAAGTTAGATATGTGATCAAATATCAAAGTAGCGCCCCCATGCGTGGTATGCTCGGGGGAACATACTTTGAAAAGTTCTCGCGCAAAACGTTCAACATGGCGAAAACAAAAGAAATAGAAAATACAGGCCAGGCCTCACTTGCCACCTAAACCGAACTTCATGAAGATGAGCTCTTTGCCCTTGGAGAGCAGGTTGTCGGCGGGGTTGTCCCCGCCGGTAAGACCCGCCGTCAGGTCACCGAGCTTCTGCATCAGGTTTGGCGCCGGGGGGAAAGTGGACGTGGTGTTCGCCGTCGGAGACTCCTTGTTGTTGGGTATGACAAAGTCCGGCACAACCTTTGGCACGCCCTTCATCTGCTGCTGCTGCTGTCGCTGCTGCTGTTGCTGCTGCTGCTGATGCTGCTGATGCTGCTGATGCTGCTGATGCTGCTGCTGTTGTTGCTGTTGCTGCTGCTGTTGCATGCCCTGGCCGGGCGGGCCGGGCTGGTGCTGGTTGTAGTCGCCGGGCCCTCCGTCCGAGTAGCCGCCGGGGTAGCCTCTACCCCTACCACCTCTCCCTGGCGGCCCGCCTCTCCCCCTCATTCCCCCCGGGGGTCCCCCCGGTCCCTGCAAGGAAAGTAGGCGTGTTAACGGTTTGGATAAAGTACGTGACATGTCAGGGCACAAGCACAACATTTCATGTACGTTTATTTGCAGTTTCTTATTTCGAGAGCGTTTAAAAAATAACATTTCATCGTATACTGTAAGGATATGTGACTAAAAGATCATTAAACACGTGCTAGACTCGAGGCAACTTTCTATTACTACTCTGTATTTTCATAATGGTCTAAAATACAGAAATGCCCGGTATCAATATGCAGAAGTTTATGCGTTACACATAATCTATGTGAACTCATAGAGCTGTTTTCAAACCGAAAAAGGCTCACAGGCAATAAACGCCTGCCAATTGCCAGTTAGGCCAGCCCGCAGAGCACGCGTGTGAGCTGGTGCCACACTTGCCTACCTACTAGGCGCTTTGTTGCCCCAAGACGCGGTACATTTTTAATTGACTGCCTTACATTTCCATGATCTCATAATTTGCGTACAATTCAGCAGTTTTATTTTTATAAAACACCTTTTAGTAGTTAAGTTTTTAACTTCAGAACTTATGTAAAAAAATAAAAAATTCAGTTTGTCTGGCTAAATAATTTAGGATAGTTCATTTTCATTCGTTTTGACAGAGCCATGGATGCCTCAGCATGCAGGCATGCATTTTGTAAGGGGGCTTACTCACCCTCATGGGAATAAATATCACTTATGGTGTAGCTTACGACGAATTAGTTCTACGATCAATTGAGAAAACTAGTTTTGTTGTGCTGCTCCTGAGCACCCAATTAGTTTCTCTACCAGTGGCGATTATTCAATAACAGAGATATAAAATTAGACGCATGACTTTAGGTTGATACTCGTGGTAAAATGCCAAAATAACGGGGTAGAGCACGAAATTATCTCCAAACTACTCTACAATAAGAAGAATCACGCAGCAAAACAACATATCACTATGCTACAACACAGGAAGCCCACACACCTACAAGCGTTAGTATAGAGGGTCAGGGGACCGATAGATAAATAGAGGAATAGAGGAAAAGAAAGATGTTTCGTGGGTATTTCTGCGTTGTTGTGCACATCGAGAAAGGAATGTCACAATCGTGAGACTCATCTGTGGTTATTCACACGATTGGGCCATATTTGTGTCCGCTGCTTTAAATAAGGTGTGAGTCTTGCAAAAGTTTAAAATGTGCAACTTAAATTGAAAGTATTTTTGTACTCGTGGCCATTTTTGCTTGTTTTTCAATGTAAAATCAAAGAGTTCATCTGTAGTATTTTAATATTTTTCCTGTTTTGAACTTTAGCGTACGGTAGGTGAGAGCGAACAAGCCAAAAGCTTCGCCGTGAATGGAACAGAAGCGGGAGGAAGGAAAAAAACAACAGAACATCTACATTGAACATCGTGGTTTAAAGAATCTCAAAAAGCAAATATTTAATCAATCGTAGGCCTTTTAGACGATATGCAGCTGATATGTCAGGATCCACTTTCACCCTAAACGAAAAGCTTTTAACATGGCGTGACTACAACGGAGGGAGTGTTTTTATCTCATCATCCTGTCGTGTGTTGTCCCCTGCAGGTGCCCCGCACAATGAACGTCAAGCCGAACGTTTTCTCGCCAGGTGCTTAAGCGCTCTGGGTAGGCCGCCGTCACGCAGATCCTTGGCGTGTTGGCCCACCCCGAGCGCTCTCGCAGCGGCCGCCGCCTCGGGTAGCGTTCATTGTGGAGTCCGTGAACATACCTACAGACCTACAGAGGCAACATCGGTACAACTTGACCGATGTACCGTCTCCTCAATACGAAGAGGGTGCAATCCAGAAAACACATACAAATCACTGGCTATACTTCAGTGTTAGAATTTGCTTGTGCTTATGAATGCCTACGTTAGGGCAATCATTTGGGGGGGAGGGGGGAATTAATTACACCACATCATTCAGGACAAACTAAATCACACACCATCAGCAAATATAACTGATGTACTGAGGTTGAGGGAACAGGGGTGGTTATCACTTAGAGCACAACAGCTCCCACAACAGCAGGGCGAAGGCTTTACACGGAGGGGGTACTCCCTAGGGGGCGAACAGTCGTGTACGTAACGGTGCATTGTAGTTGCGGGGCTCGGGTAGGCTGAGGCAGCACGTGGAATACTTTCTACTCACCACTCCCACAATCTCCATACTGCTCTAGTCCTAGTCGCACGGTTAGTTTAATTGGGGGTACGTTATGGGAGTTATGCTTTTTGAATAATTGGAATGTATTATTGTTATATGACAGTTATAATTGCCATTATTATTATTATTATTATTGTTTAGATCCCCGGTATTTTGTCTTCCCTGGTCAATTTGAGTGAATGATTTGGTGATCGTGCAGCTGCAGTATGAAGATTATGGTGTGTCCATGGTGGCACATTCTCCTACTAGAGTACTTTTAGGGGTTTATGCTGTGATAATACTGTAGTTAGTGACCTTGATGTGATTCATCTCGACTTACCTGCTGGTGATAGCCTAACTGTGAAGGTTGAGGGAAGTTGCCATCTAATGGAAAACAAAGAAGAAGGTAGAGATAGGCAGGAAGGTAGAGGAAGACAAAGATCCAGACGGAGAAGAGAGAGAGAGAGAGAGAGAGAGAAAGTAAGACAGAGAAAACGTTTCGCATGAGAGTCATGTGATGTGAAGTGCCACCAGAACAGACAACAAACGTAACAGAAAAATGGTGATTCAACATGAATCAGACGCCATTTCACTAGATTGTTTTAAGCCGTTCATCCCACCCTCTTTCCGTCGCTCGAACGCCCTCCTCCCGTTTCGATTTACAGATCAAAAAAATAAGCAATGGGGTATTTACATATTTTTCTTGGGCTGTATTACCAAAAGCTCTAATCAAAGGTTGTGTTTTCACTCATCAGATCCTTCTTTTCGTGCACGAAACTTAAGTTTAAGGTGGCGCACGATGCATAAAACTATTGAAAATGATTAAAACCCAAATACCAACTTTTAAATATAAAACGGTTTCACAACGGTCTCTTACTATTTATGTTTTTAAAGGAAAGACGACAGACAGATAGAAAGAGACGGGAGGAAAGGAGGAAGCTAAAGGGCCGCAAGATGAAGTCGTCTCCAAGCTAAGAGCCTAAGAGTTTGGGGTGTGCAAAAGTTGTGGCCCCAGTCGTGAACCAATTTTTGGGCAAAATTGTCTTGTTGGAATAAAATTTGTGCTTTTGTGTAAAGAAAAAACTCAAAAAGGAAAAGTCGCTCTTCACCACATTGTGTCCCTACTGCTGCAGTGACTCTTTTATTAGATTACTCAGCTGGTGAGAGAGCGTCGCGAGAAAAAGAAGTACAGCGATAGATTTAAAGAGAGGTAGAGAAAGGGAAAAGAGCGAGCGAGCGAGCGAGAGGGAGATTTCGAAGCGCACAGCCAACACCAAAAATTGTAGAGTTTGTAGAATGTCAAGAGTTTGGAAAATCGCGTACGGGTGAGCATGTTTGTTGCTGTTGTTTTTAAAGAGGGCATGGTGAAGAACATCGAAAGACACAGCACACGTGTGAGGCGCGTGGCAAGGGAAAGCGGCAAACAGTTCCAAAATCCTTTATTTCCCCCGGCGGTATTAGGGTGGCAGGGTCGAGCTCTGCCGCGCCGTTTCCCGTGCCACAGCGAAGACAGAGAGCGGACTACTCTCTGCACTCGGCTGCACTCCCAGACGGACCGGGCGGGGCGTCGGGGTCAAGACGTGACCAGCCCGGCGCCCCGCCGCGGAGTGTGAGTGAAGGACTACCCGGCGGGGCCCTGGCCCTGGCCCTGGCGGGCAGCTGGGCCGCGCCGGGTACAAGAAGAAGTAGAGGAAGTACACGGCAATGAACAAGTAAACACACAACACCGAAAAGAAATTTGGCGAAAGAGCAGTGCGAAGAGGAGGACTCGGCGCAGGGCACTCACCTTGCCTCCTGTCCCTGGCGATGGGCATACCCTCCCTGGGGGGTGGCGGGGGCCCCCGCGCGCCGGGGCCGTGGCCGCGGTCGGGCCGCATGCCGGGGCCCATGGGGCCGCCCCGGCCGGGGCCCGGGCCGGGCCCGCCGTTGCGGAAGTCGCCCTCCTGGTGCTTCTTGAGCGGGGTGAGGAAGTTGGAGGGCACGAGGCCGCGCACGCCGTTCAGCTCGCCCATGTAGAAGCCGTCATCGTCCATCTCGCCGTACACGTAGATGATGTCCCCGGTGCGGAAGGTCAGCTCCACTTGCTGCTAGCAGACAAAGCCATGAGAAATTCCGGATACCACTGACCGTCTTTTTCAAGTCTAATAGCAGCCAAAAAATGTATCTAGGCCTCGTGCTTACACGGAAACATGTCTAAGCTCACTACAATTTAGATATTGTATATTTGTACGCCGTGGAGTTTTCATTTCACCAGATGATCTGGAGCAGTCTAACCTGATTCCTATAAATGTTCCCCTAGCAAATTGACACCCCTTTCGGGGATACTTACGTCTGCATCGACGTTCGGCGACAGCTCCTGAGGGTCGTAGTCGTAGAGGGCGACCATCTTCTTGACAGGCGAGGCGGCGTAGGTGTCCCCCACACGGTCGCCGCGCTGGTAGTAGGGATCGCCCTGGCCGCCCATGCCTGCGTCCGGGCTCGTCACCTCGGCCACGGTGTTCTCCGGGATGAAACCCTTCCGACCCCGGACCTCTCCCCAGTAGAAGCCGTCCGCGTCGCGGTCGCCAAACACCTGCGCACAGTCGTTCGGATGACGTTAGGTTAAGAAAGTTTGGTGTATGAGGATGAGATGAGTGCCCAACCAAATGCTTGCCAAAATTTTTGTATTTTATTTTTGAATAAAAATTTTTGTTGGTATCTAAAAGAAGTCAAAACATGGGCATTCAAAAAAAGAAATGTCAAAACTTGGCTGTCGGAAAAAAATGAAAAATTTTTGGCTAGCAAGGCGACCACCCCACACTCTCTTCCAATCTTACGAACGCCCACCTTTATCCGCTCCCCCTCGCGGAAGGACAGCTCCTCGACGCAGCCGTCCGGGTTGGGCGACATGGTGCTCGGGTCGTAGTCGTAGAGCCCGACGAACCAGCGCACCCGGTTCTGCTGCTGGCGCTGCGCGGCCGCGCCGCCCTGCTGGTGGCCGCCCTGGCCCTGGCCGCCCTGCTGCTGCATGGGCCCGCCGCGGTAGCCCTGGCCCCCGGGACCCTGGCCGCCGGGGTTGCGGATCAGCCTGCCGTACTGGTCGTACTGCTCCACGGGTCGGCCCCGCTCGTGCGGTAGCAGCGGCGGCCGGCCCCGCTCGGCGTGGCTCCGCGGCGCCGGCCGCTGGTCGTACTGGCCGTGGTGTCCCGCGTGACCCGGGTGCCCGCGCCGGCCCATGTAGTCCTCCTCGCTGTACGCCTCGCTCGCCGAGTCCTTGGTGATCTCTGTAAACCGACCACCTAAATCGCTTTAGTAGCCATCGCAAGCATCAACTAGTTTATACCCGATTTATTTTGTTCTGGGTTAACATTTTTTTGTGTTTAGTTTTGAGATTGATAGTGAAAGGCTCCTTCGATTTGTAAACAAGTTTAAATTAAAATGTAGAAGATAAAATTCAAACACAATAATTTCTTCTGGCAAAAAGCATTTAGATCCTGTGAGGGTGGATAAACTTCTACGTTATGTGAGCGAAGGAGAGAAAGGTGCGAAAGCAATCATCAGAACACGGAAGAAAATCAAATCAGTACTGATAATACCACGTTTACTAGTTGTGAACATGCGAACGGATGGAACATGAAAAGGAGAGCACGTGAATGGTTTGCAGTAATGACACAGGAAAGAGGATTTTTTTAAAAATAGGATAAAACTTTACGTTACAAGGGTTTGGTTCGTGGGGGAAAAGAACTCCAGGTGAACTGACGAACACTTATTTGCGATTACCTGGACATTTTCCAGTGTATTTGTTCAGTTCTCAGGGAGAAGGCTTGAAAAGGGAGTGATTTTGGAAAGTACACTCATGAGCATTGTGGATGATGGAGTGAGAAAGCGTTAATGTCTCTACAAGAAACGAAGACATTACCTGCGATAGGGGCCAGAGACGAGTGGTAACCTGACAACAGAAAGCACGCCCTGGCTGAAGCCCTAGCTAGGCCACACAGTGATGTGCATGCAAAAGGGGAGGGGCGGAGCCAGAGACCCAGACAGCCAATAGCAGACTTGGGGAAGTTCTATGAAAAAAAACTTCTCATCCTCTGTATCTGGCTTCGCTCCTTATCAGAAAAGGTGAAAGAAGTAATAAAAGAAGACCGAAACACTCCATCATTAAATCAAATTAACATCATCGGTTGGAAACGATCACGTGGGGAGGGGCATTAGAAAGTAATTTCTCAACACTTGGGGTCACACCATTCTTGCTTTGTCTCCGAGTATAAGAGGAAAAATAGGAGGAAGAATGAGAGAGAAGAACAGAGTACAAGACTTCAAGACAAAGAGAAAGAAAGAGAGGGATTAGTCACGCGGCAGTCAAACACACAAACACACATGCTGCTGGTGCATGGCTCGCTGTAAGCTCACCGATGGACGGGATGCTCATGCTGTTGCCCGGGTACACCTCCTTGTCGCTGAGGTTCTCCTCGGTCTCGATGACCATCTGGCCGTGCTGGTCCATGCGCGTGCCCCGGCGCACCCCGTGCCGGCCGTGCTGCTGCGGCCCGTAGCGCCCCGCCGGGCCCTGCCCGGGCCCCATCCGGTCCTTGTGGCCCTTGCCCCGCAGGATGGATGTCGGGATGGGCGTGGGCGCCGAGTCCGCGGACTGGGCGTCCCTAGACTTGGTGCGCACCGTCACCTGGCGCGGGTTCAGCCCCAGCAGCTTGCCGATGTCGATGAGCGCGTGGTCACCTACATGAAACAAAATAATTTATTAGAAGAAACATTTACTATATAAATAGCCAACTGAAGAGCGCCTCGGCAGAGTGACTGGCAGTCACTCGCGCCCCTGTAGACTGCGGCTGGGCATGCCCGCCAGACACGGGTGTCATGCGGGCTAGCCTACCCGCCAGGCGGGCTCCTCACCCGTGGGACTGTCGACGTCGGTGACCTTCTTGCCGTCGGCGTACACGGCGTACCCCGTGACGTTGGTGCTGCTGGCCGTGACGTTGGCCGTGACGGGGAGCCAGGTGACGAGCAGCGTGCCGTCCTGGGGGCCGGGCTCCACTTGGATCTCGGCCGGAGGGTCGGGCAGACCTGCAGCTGGCAGACCAGAGGGCGTCACACAGACTGTCACACAGAGGGCAGAAGAGCGAACGCCCCGACGGAGGGATTGTGCGCACTGCTATAAACCTTGCGGTGAACTTTACCGTAAATTACAGTTAAACCTGCAGCACTGTGTGAGTCAGGGTGCACATACGCTTAAAGTTACAGTAAATACCAATTTAATCGAGGCACAGACCACCGAAACTTACAAGAAAATTTCGAAGAATTTCGACGCAACTTTTACTGCTGCAGGTTTCACCGTAGCTTTACACACAAATTCACAGTAAGCTGTCATATTAGGGCCGGGAAGTAGCGTTTCCCATCTGCAGTGGTGTCATTTCCTAAAGGTCCACACTCTGCCACATTTTATAACTAACACAAATGGGTGGGTTTCGGTAGAAGCAAAGAGAATCACACGCACTCAAAAACACTCCAAGAATGAGTAGAGATGGCAAAGAAGATAAAGAGAAAAGTTTTAGTAAAAGCTCAACAACTTATGATTTATAAGAGAAGACAGAAAAGAGGAAAATATCTTGCTCTAAATTTTGCTTTTAAAAGGCGATTTTCAGACCGAAATCTTACTACAAAAGATCGAGTACAATAAAAGCAATATGAAATGAAGAGAAAATTATGTAGCAAAGAAAGTTCTACACATCTGAGTACGAATTTTAGAAACAAAAGAAATGAAACATTGTGGATAAGATTTACCTACTATCTATTACCATCAGCATAGCTCAGATTTGTATAAAATCGGAGTGACTCCTAAAATTCATAATCAAAAACTAAAAGCACTTTAATCATCGTTATTATATGAAATGATAATCGGTGCTAGAGAATGATGTATTTGATTAGACTGGCTCTATAATGCTCTGGCTAGGCGATGCAACATGCCTTTTAGGACTTCTCTCCTTCACGATCTCGGTGCTTGACAGAGACTGCTTATTTAAAGTCATGCTGCCCTTGGATCTTGTTTATTTCATTGAAACAGTTGCCGTGCAGATCGAAGGGTAGCCTAATGCACTACCTATATAACTAAAAGAGTGCAAAATAATTCCCGATACTAATACTTAATGATTAGGTTGTAGGATTTAATAATTTTAAGTACATGGGCAACCTGCCTGATAAAAAAAAAACTGCGAACCTATTGTGTATACGGTTTTAAGTTAAGAACAAGCCATGCTGGCTATTTAAGACGTGCGTTTTTCGGACGCACCAAAAATGCAAAACAGTGATCTATTAGACTGGTGAAAGAAATGTAACAATTAATCTTGCAAAGACTTTTTAAATCTGAAAAGATGCTTCGAGTACCTATGCAATAGCTGCTAAAACATAGCACATGCACATTTTTATAGGGAATGGTGTGCTCAGAGCTGCTATTACAATCAGTGTGTGGTTTTAATCGTGAGAATATATCACAACATTTTGAAGTCTTTAAAAAACGAATGCAGTAAGTTAGAAAATAGAATAAAGAAGGATATAGAAGTCTTATCATGCATTAAGACCTTTTTTAAAAGAAAATGTGCTTAGCAAACAAAGAAGCGAAAGAAAATTAGGTTCAAGGAGATGAAAAGTGACGTCACCTTTGCAGCCTGTTTTTTGACCGTTCAATATTGTACATAATCGATATCCCATGCAGGCAGGACAAAACAAGAAAGAGAGACATCAAATTAAAATGCTGTAATGAACAGCCTGCAATGCATTTCTCAAAGTTCATTCATGCAAACTTTTAAGAACGAAAAAAGCCCCTGTACACTTCGTTTATGTTATGTGGGTATAACTTTTAAATTGTAAATTTGAGAAAAGCATTCTTAGGCAGCAGGAACTGCTTAACTGCGCTAGGCTAAAAGCAACACACAAACTATGGACCTATATCCCCTTAAAATAGATTAATTAGTCGATAATCGTTTCTTATTAGATTGGTTCAGCGCACCTCTTAACAGACCTTAACCTTATTTACCTATGCTGACTGCTTTCACACAATAGTTTTCAAACCCCCAATGTAACTAAAAAGAGCAGCGCCTCTGTCAAGCAGTTTCCAAGGGACCACAACCACTGATCTACCTGGGTTTTCAGAAATGTGAAAAATAATACTAACTAAATAGGGTTTGTTTCATCAAAACGGCACATTGTTATTTAAATACTGTGACGTCACACTCTATATAATGTGAATTAAATCACAATATTTAGAATATCGTGTCACATTCCTTAGAACGTGACATATCCCTGCATCGCTCAGCGCAGGTAAGCGTAGGATACTTACTTATGTCACGTTGTAACGCATGTGACACGATGTTCTAAATAATGAGACAAAATTCGCATAATATAGAATGTGACGTCACAGTATTTGAATAATAGTGCGCTTATTTATTCACCCAGACACATTTGCCAGTCACAATGGCATGGTACTGAGATAACAAACCTGCTATCACATGGGGTTTACAACATACTGCGCCACATCCTTAAACTGATGGCCCAGCGGGCACACGGCTAGGGTATGTACAGGACCAACGGGTAGCACCAATGATTGCAACGTACTGACAGGCTGGTTTCACCACGTACCTTTGGGCAGGGTGACGAAGTCGATGTGACAAGAGTACCTCTCCATCGGTAGGTTATGTTTCTCGTCGAAGTGTGGAGCCCTGATGTTTTTGGCGCGCACAGTAACCCGATAGACCGTGTCCGGGGCGAGGCCTGCCAAAAGATGAAACCATGCGTTACTTGTGTCGGTCTTGTTACCAGTGCGTCTTGGCGCACCTGCGCACCCGTACACGCTCATTAAGTATACCCGTGATGGTGTGGCGATAGACGCCTGGCTTGACGGTGCGAAGCTCCACGTTGTTGACGCAGACGACGTGCTGGTGGTTAGAGTTGGCGGGCAGCCAGGATATGACGGCCGACGTGGACGTGACGTGCGACGCCTTGACCCTGGTCGGCCCGAGGGGCAAGTCCTTGCCGATGACCATGGTGCAAGCCGCGTCCCGCGACGTCCGCCGGTTGGGCGTGATGGACCGCACAGATATGCGGTGCGGCTGGGGCAGACAGAGATATTCAAGCTCGGTCCTTTTCGCGGGAAAGTTCTTTACCGAAAAGGTTTTTGAACTCGTCCATACGCCAGCACAACGTGCATAATACAGTAACCACCCCTCCCCCTATAAGTAAAGTTAAGGAGACAAACGTGTCTACCTCCCAGGGAAAACGTGTTTCTCACGAAGACCTCATTGTGACCTCTTTATGACTTACAAGGTCACGATTCTTGCACTCTTGTGACCCCACTGGTTACGTCACAAGTGCAAGTAATTGCAAACTCAGAGGTCACAACGAGGTCTTCTTGAGAAACACGCTTTCCTTGGGCTTGTGTTATTGTTACCCTACTAGGAAAAATTGTATTTTTGCATTGCCTCACACACACTTAATACTCACCCGGTTGGAGTCAACGCCCTCGACGAGCGCACGCGTCCTCTCCGTGGCTTTAACAGTGGCCTTGAGCACCCCGTCCACGTACAAGAGGTACGAGTCGATGGCGCCGGGGGGGCAGTTGTCCGGGTGGTTCCATCCGATGAGTACGCTCTTGTTGAGCTGCCGCTCCAGCGTCAGCTGCTTCGGTGCCGGCACTAGCACCGAGAAGAACAGGTCTGTGTGACCGCGGGGGCAGGCCGGGCGGGCGGGGCAGCGGCGCGGATCAGGCCGGAACAGGGTGGCAAGCACAGGCGTGGCAAGCGCAGCTCAGACAACAGTACGACCTCATTCAACCACATTTTTGAATTCATTGAAAAAGGGGTTGGCAACTCGATATAGTTTCAGTACGATGAACATGTGTTGTAATTGTCGTTGTGAAGTGGAGTGGGCAAAGGCGATATAGAAGAGGTATGAGTCTGTAGGACCGATATAAGGTCGAACAAGTAGAAGAAAATTTTGAGACAGAATGGGAAAGACAGAAAGTGAGAGTGCGAATACCGTCAGCATTCCTTTTGTAAGAGTGACCAGATCGAGGGGTGCTTTCGATCGATGAAATCTAGGATAATGTTTTTCTATCCAGTGAGTAATACTCAAAATGGCATTATTTAATGACACCATTTTAACACGGACACATATGATTTATCATCTACGTGTAACGTGTCTATGCTCTATGAGTGGCTCCTTCAGGGCTACCGGCGTGCACTTGGCAAACGGGCCACGTTATGGAACTGCTACGAATGCTCTGCCAGCGTGCCCTTGCCGCCCTTTGCCTCGCCCGCTACGGGACCCGCCCTCCCCGTCGAGCAGCAAAAAAAATAAAATACAAAGAGCCCCAAGACACAAAACATTTAACATGTCATGATGGAGATTACATGCAAATTTTGGTTTCTCCTCTTGGATTCGACAGGAGTAAAATACACTCAGTGCCTGGATTTGGGTTGTGCTCGAAAAAAGGGGGTGTCTTTTAAACTGAGAGATAACTTTCTTGCAAATTTAACAATGATGCTTAGTGGAGTGCTGAAGGGTCACTACTCGAGTGGGAGAAGACAAGAAAAAAGAGGGAAGGAAGAAAATAGTTAAGAGCAAGCAAGTATGAAAATGTGTAAGGAGAGACAAACAGTTCCATTGGTTTGTTAAATGAAAAAGGACATGCTCAAAAATTTAGTTTTAAAAAGCACTGGGTATAGTATAACAAATTATAAGACACTAGCTAAAAAACCTAGAATGCCTTCAAAAACCACAAGACAAAATTGTCTTTGTTAACTAGTTATTGTGTGTGTCGTGGTCACAAAAAGTACTTGATAGAAAAGTGCCTTAAAATTTTGTGATGAGAAAGTATATGCCCTTGATTGATAATGATAAATGTGATTATGACATGCCCTAATTCTGTTATTTATTGGTGCCACCTTATCGAACTGAGACTGAATCCATGCAAGGATTATCATGCAATGTTCTTTTTTCCGCAAACACGGAGGGGTATTTTGAGTTGTCAACACAGAGTTCAAAACACATAAACGGTAAGCTAACACAGAATAGAATTTGCACATACCTGGTCCTTCACCCATCGGATCCTCATCCTCGTCGTCCATCATTTCGTCAAAGTCCATGTACGTATAGTCGCGCTTTCCGTACATGCTCTCGTCTAGAAAAGAAAATAAATTGGCTGATAATTGTATCAACATTTTCGAGCAGCGATAAAACTTAATATGCATTGAAACTTAGCGTTCATCTTATTAATCTAATTTTACAAACTTCTGACAACACAGGATTGAGACTTTATAAAACCTAATTAAGTAGCGACGGAGTTCTGAAATGCAGCGCTTTTTACATGCAGTATGGATACACACTACGGAAATACTTTTTTAACCTGAGCACCAAACATCACCTACTCTATCGCTAATCTGGTGGCTACAGAAAAGCACCAGTGACACCGACACTGCTACACTTCGACTCCTTCTCGCGAGACACACACTTTCTTGTCTCGCAGTTTGTCTCGCAAGGGGGTGTCGACTGTTAATATCCCAAAGATTCATGAGTTACAGAAAAAAATGCAGAACAATAAGTAACCGGCTGTCCACGAGTCACAATGTATGTCACATGAGTTACAGTGTGGCAAACTGGCAAAGCACCTGGTTTTTTTTGCGTGCACATAGCGTTACCTAAAAGTAGCCCTTAGCTTTGATTTCAGATGTTTATATTGTTCATGAAATACTCTGTGTCTCCAGCTGTGTGTTTTGAGGACAGTCCATAGTCGTCTGCCATGCTTAACACCAAAAATCAATATGTACAACATACATAAACTAGAAACAGGCATATCAAGGAACGGGGGTACGGATTTGAGCGACAAGTTACAGAGGAACACCTTTTCTAAAATGTAATGAAACATATTTCTAAGGGCTATAACGAACTGCCATCTGCCACATATATAGCCAAAGGGTACATAAAGGGAGCTAAACGTTCAAATATTCGATAAGGACCAGAGGGAGCGAACTGCAACGTAAATAGTTGGTTACAACCACATCTACCCCAGCTCCAGTATCAGAATCCATTAAAATATTTTTAAATAAAAATTTGTGAACATCTTGCAGTATTGTAAAAAATGCAACAATTGGAGAAAATTCCGCCTGATACGCTGAGACTAGCAGCACTGTGAACAACGGTGTATTTTATTTGTTCCTGGAAACAACTTGTTCACCAGAGCTGAAAGTGAAATTATTGGTTTCCACCGTAACTTACAATATGCTCACACTGAAAAAACAAAGGTGGAACTAGGCCCTTTTTATGATGTCGATACTGCAGCACCTCCAGAATCACACTTACACCCTCGAAAAATGCAAAATTTTGCGGATTTTTTGTGTGATTTAGAGTGAAGGCAGTATAAGAGATCATAAAGTGCTTCCGTCATTTGCGGTCATTTGACGTAACGAGGCTGACAAGTTCAGCGAATGCAAGCTCTAATAGTGCCTAATGGGAAGGCAACATCTGGACTGCAGTGCATGCGTGAACTGCGGATAACCGTTGTTTTTCCAGTGTCCTGCAATACTGTAAGGTTTTGCTGCAAATTGCGAAACATTAGACCGTAATCTTTTACAGTGTGGCGGTTCCTTAAACGAAATTAGAACGCGATACTCATTACACAATTCGCCCACTCTGCAGATCGAGTGTTGCCAAGCCGCATTGCCTTCAGAATGAGCAGGATTCTGACAAAAAATGGGCGTCAAATCCCCGTGCCCTCTTATACACACGTCGCCGAGGATAAATTTCACTCTAAGGCGATCACTCCCCACCCATGAGCAGCACACGGTAAAAAGAATGTCTTGAAATTCGAGGAAATTTCTTGGATTTCAAGGTCGGGTGGATAATTTCAAGATTGGCCCTTAAAACCCGCAACTTCCAAGGCTTTCCCATGGACGCTGCGGGTTCCCAGACAAAGTCTGGTATTTCAAGGGCCAATCTTGACATTTCCACCCGACCTTGAACTTGAAATCCAAGAAATTTCCTCGGATTTTAAGACATTCTTTTTACCGTGCAGGCTACACCCTCGCCTGGCCCCGCATCACCTGGCACCACCCACACATGCAACCCGGGGCTGCACAAGAGGCTCACATGATTAAAAATACTGGAAGTGGCAAGGTGCCATTTCTTTGGTTGTAAGAGTGCGAGAGAGGGGCGCAATGCTGGCTTGGCACCGCTCATCATCACTGCGCCGCGCCATGCAGGGCTGGTGGCCGCGGGCAGCGGCTGGGGGGACAGCGCCCCGGAGGGGGCCCCCGGGGGGGAGGCGCCGCTTAGGGGCCTTACGGGCGAGGGGGCTGGCTGGGGCAGGCGCTACGCTCTACGGGGTGCACAGCACTTTGCACGTACGTTTCCTGGGGCGAGAGCGCGACCTGGACCGGGAGCGGGACAACGAACGCGACAAGGACCGGCCGCTGCTACACGGCTGGGCGGCCTGCTGCGGGCCGGCACCGGCAGGCGTGGCCTGGGCCGCGGCGGCAGCGGCAGCGCGCGACGTCCTGGCCGAGCGTTTGCGGTCCCGGCCTTTGTCCCTGTTCCTGGGGCGGGAGCGTCGCCCGCCTTCCTCCAAAACACACAGCCGACAGAGTCGCGTCGCGGCACGGGCGCGGCGAGTCGCGCGGCGGCGGGACGCGTCGAGAGGCGTGGCCCAAACACAACAAAACAAGCTCCGGTCAAGGGAGTCTCCGGCTCCACAGCCTCCACAGGCCGGCCCGGAGGCAGAGCCCGGCCCCCGCGGCCCCTCTCGCGCCAGCCTGGCCGCCCTCGGGGCCACCCTAGGGCCAGGGGCCCGGCCTCGGGGTGGGGCCCCGCCCGGCTGGAGGGGAGGAGCACACACACCATCAGATCATTATGCGCACAACACTTGTAGTCACTCTGACACAGACAGACAGACAGGCAGACAGACAGACAGACAGAGAGGCAGAGAGGCAGATGCATAGACAGACAGAAAGGGCGGGGAATTTCATTTTCCCATGCGGATGGGAAGGGCGCATAGCTTTACAAAAACCGAAAAGAGTAAAGCAAGCTGTAAGGAGAAGTGCGAAGTCTTATAGAGATAGAGAAACGAGAAACAGAAGTACCGGGGGCGTGTTGTGTCTTAAAGGAAAGTCGTAACATAAATTGGTATTGGTTTAGGGGGGGGATTTACTCATGCACCTCGGGAAGGGTAACGTTTGCACCAAATCAATTTACAGGCACTCGCAGCATGTGCATTGCGTGCACTCGTGGAGCAGAGATACGGAAGTAAGCCTACGGCGCACTGTGCGGGACCAAGTCGTAGCCGTCATCAGTCAGCTACCTACGTACGGCTAGAGGGGGCTAGAGTCGTACACATTTACTACGTGATCAGGAAGGTACCAATATCAGGGGGGTTTATTATTTTGTATCTCGAGATTTAAAAAATCATTGCACCTACAGCTACAGTGATTCTAAGCTCATGGGCTTGTGATAGTTGTACTCTGCCCCTGGTTACGTAGAATGTGAACGACCCTGCTGATGTAAACAAGTGACTGGAGGAAAAGATAGGGACTGGGACTGGTGGAAGCCATACCAAGATATTACCTCAGATAAAGCTTGCACATGAGCACTAGACGGTGTCGTCCAGAAGTTTCGAAAGGCGTGCGGCCGCGCTGATAGTTTAGCTCGACTACTTTACATAGCTGTCTACCGTCTATCAGGTGCAAACAGTACTCCTCGCCAGTGAAATCGGATGCAGAAACAATAAGTCATTGTGTCACTTTTCTAGCAAGGCGGGGTGTCATTCAAACTTGCCACTGCGTATGTTTAACTGGAACCACGATTATAATTCAGTGGTTTAAGCAAAGGGCAAAACGCCATGTCTTTAGAACTGGCGAGCTGAGCTACCGGAGCTAGCACAGCGTGTGGCGCGAGCGTACTTCTCAGGGAAATGGGCTCGACCTAAACCCACCCCGATTCGACCCTCCAGCCTCCCCACCCCTATCCCACGGAGCAACAGTAAAATACTGTCCATCAAGACGCTCACCGAAGTACTCATGGCCCATGGAAAAATCCAGGTCTTGTGGAAGAGTGGTTGACGCACAGTCGTCGCAGTCACGCAGCCCCAGGACCACGCTTTGGTGGAACTCGAGGAGGTCGTCCCCGATGAGCTTCTGGATAAAGTTGCTCGGCACGAGGCCGCGCCGACCGTCCAGCAGCTCACCGTCGAAGAAGCCGTCCTGGAAGCAGATTGAGGTCAGATCTGCAGCGAACTTTGCGGTTCACCTTAGGTCGGTATAGCCTACCTCGTCCATTGTGCCCCACACGAGCAGGTAGTCGCCCGCATTCACCGCTAACTCGGCCTCCGGGTTGTCGTTTGGGGACTGATGGAACGGGTCGTACGAGTACCTGGGCGGGAGAGTCGTACCATTTACATGCAGTTTTACTACGAGTAACATTGAAATACTAATTTAAACTATGCCTTCGATATTAATTATTAACAATCATTTGCCGACTTTAACTTCAGAGTAAAGCCCTTAAAAACATACAAAACTCTAATCACCACATGGTAATACGGTATTGGTGACACTTCTATATAGACTATAGTCACCTATAGGCTGAACCCTCTAGAAACCAATGTAAAATGTAATTATATTTCACAATCCATCAATTAATACTTACCTGGCGATGTACACGTAACACCGGCCCTTGCCAGGTATGTCCAGCATGTCCACCTTTCCCTGTGTGCTGCCGCCGCCCATGAGGTGTTGAGTGTCCAGTCCCGGTATGATGCCTGAGCAGAATTAGACAAACGATTCTAAGGACCCAGCGCGAAATACAATAGAGGCTGTTTGTTTGAACAAAACTTAAATATTTCACAAATTTGTAAATGTTCATATTTTTGCAGCAATTGTTAACACGTGTTCAGGTGGTCCTCCAATGAAACCGGGAACCCATCACCCATCATTTCAGATTTGATAAATATACTTTGAAAGTTTAGAAATGCAATAACTACATTTTCACAAAATACGAACAAGTTTCAGTGACCATAATACTGGCCTACAGTGCATCCAAAAGGGCAGGCTGTTGCGGGCTTCTTTTTTTGGCGCCTATGCTTTAACATGGGCGGAGGAGGAAGTAGCCCACAACAGCCTGCCCTTTTGGATGCAATGCTGGCCTACTCATAAATTATGCGTACTGATGGGTCTCTCAAAGAGGCACCCGAATGCCAGCAAAATTTGTGAAAATGTATTCATTGCATTGCTAAACTTCCACTTTGCATTTAGCAAACTTAGGTCGCATCAATAACAGTAAAATCTAAATTGATGGTTGATTGGTTCCAGGTTTCATTGGAGGGCCACTCCTACCTCTGTCGACGTCGTACTGAGTGGTAACTATGGACGGGATGCCGGGTATCTGCGGCATCATCCTGGCCTGGTGGTTGCCGCTCATCCCCGGCAGCGTTCGGCCCAGGCCCAGTCCTAAGCTCCCTCCGGGAAGGAAGCCCATCTGCTGCACCAGGGAGCTCGGCTACAAGCACAAAGGTAACACATTTGAAAAAAATATACCAATAGAACACGTTAAAAAAATACCAGTATATTTGGGCTATTCAGCAAATCTGGTGCAAATCTTCCCAAGAAATGACCCAAAACTTTGTGTGCTTGAAAACGTGATATTTTCTTCGCTCGACGAAAGTCTCCGTTTAACTTTTAATGTACACTCTGTCAATTCAAATGTGTACATTATTGCATGCTTTAAATAAAGTGTACATGTCATGTATACTTTAATTAATGTGTACATGGCATGTATACCTCAAATAATGCGTACATGCTCATGTGCGCATTTATAAATTCGAACATGATAGTATACTACTGCAGTATGTGCAGTCAGTATACATGGATGTATATACATTCATCAAAAAAGTTTTGCATGTCAAGTACACTTTATTTAAAGTAGACAATGTACACATTTAAATTGACGGAGCAGCCGCGCCTTACCTGTGACATCCCGAGGGGAAGGGTGGTCCCGAGGCCGGTAGACATGCCAGTCAGGGGCAGGGTGCTGACGGTGGGGTGCGAGTGGAGACCCAGCGCGTCGGAGATGGTCTGGTGGCGCGTGGAGTCCACCGTAGTGCCTGCACACGAGCAGGTATGTCAGATCATTTGCTGCAGTCAGATGAGGGGCACGGTAAAAAAAAGTGTCTTGTATTTCAAGATCCGGTCTTGGATCTTATGGAGGCCGCCAATGGCATCCAAGAGCGGGTCTTGAAATTCAAGAAACTTCTTTTACCGTGGGTGAGGCCAGGTGGGTGCAAATAGGGTGATCGGGTCGCGTGCAGGGGCGGGTGCCAGATGGCGAGGGCCCTTGCGTACGTCTGCACCCCATCCCGTTCCAAAGCGACACGGATGATACAGTCGTCGCCAACCCATGAAATAAACATCTATGACCGCTATTTGATCTAGCAAATTTCACAAAGCATGATCAGCTCAATGATTATTCGTTACTCTAGGGCGCGCAACCCCCAAGAGCTTCTAAATAAACGCTAGTTTCTTATCCGCAAGGCTACGGCGCGTGCCGCTTTGCGTCTACGTCAAACTAAAGTCATTCCTTCATTGAATTTACTCCGAGAGCAGACAACCAATACGCCGTTAGGGAAGCAGATGAATTGTTTGTTTCATTTTCATTTATATTATATATGAT